TGACGTCATTTGCAAATCACGTCACCTTATGCATAAGCAGATGCATTTGACATAATGTCACAGTGTCTGGAGACATATTTTAGTGATTAACTCATTTTTTTTTGGTTTTTCAATTAAAAATAGCACAAGTACTGAAAACTGACCACCGACATGATGCATTTGACTTAATTTCGCCATTACGCATGCCCCAAAATTTAATTCGAATTAGCTTCGCTTAGCGTTCATATGGACCTAATGCGAAGTAATTTAATGCACAGTAAATTACAACTTGTAATTTGAATTCAACTAATTCGCGTTAAATTCTCCGTGTGAACGCTAAGCGAAGCTAATTCGCAGTAAACTTACGTTTAATTCGAATTAAACTCTCCGTGTGAACAGGGCATAAGATATTGATGTTCTTCATTCAAAAGTTTAACTGCACATGAATTTTAGATTTAAAAAAAAATACTTTAAATTGACCAGTATTCACAGAATACTCCTCAAATTTCACTTCACTGCAAATTTCCAGTACACAGTAAAGATGTTCACCATAGTAATTCTTTTTTTTTCTTTCCAAAGTGACTTTTTAAAAATACAAAACCACACACCTGTGTTATATATAATATTATATATGAAATAATTTCATATTGCACATGATAAGCTCATACAACAAAGAGAATTAAACATAGTCTTACAAAAAATTTATATGACCCAGGCTACCAATGCATGAATGAAAATGATTGGTCAACGGTAGATAGCAAATAAAAGAATGTATAATGTCAGCCCAGTCAACTACAGTTCATTGTAAGGGTTTGTAACAATAAAATCCACCCTTTTCATCCAAAAATAATACTGTTTTGAAAAGAAATGGTATAAATACATATATCTATGTACATGTATATATGCATTTATGTGTAACATGTATATATGCATCTATGTGTAACATGTATATATGCATCTATGTGTAACATGTATATATGCATCTATGTGTAACATGTATATATGCATCTATGTGTAACATGTATATATGCATCTATGTGTAACATGTATATATGCATCTATGTGTATATGTAATTGTATGCATCAACAGGACATTCCAGACAGGAAGCTTAAGGAACCATTCATCTAAATTTAGAAGAAATACAGAATATCAATAAAAATACTTAACATATGCAATAATTTAAAAACAAACAAAACTTTTTTTCATGGCACTTATGCAGTGTTTAAGCATTCATTTAAGGAAGAAAGACTGCATGCAGTTTGGTTCAAATAGGTGTTCTTGTTTTAAGACTCGTAAAAAGAACAAAATTTCTCACAAATTTTTTCAACAATAAAATCACATTTTACTATCACATCAAGTCAATTCTTTTATTACAATTAAAAAAAATAACAAAATTCTAGACCTTACAGGGCTGCCCATCAGTAATATCCTATGATAAATATCCACTCATTACAAATAAATAAACACCACCAAACAAATGACTTATAATGTAGACATGTAAATGTATAAATGTATGGCACTATTACAGACAAAAAACTTGGTGTAACTAACCATTTAACATTCTGATATACCCCCCTCCCTCAACCCAACCCCTCCCCAAAAATTACATTTCTCATCTCACATGCTTTATCTAAATCATATCCAAAATGTACATTGAACTAGCAGATTTCAAATTTACAAGTAGTTGACCATCTCTATATACGACTTACTAAACCTAATCTGAAGCAGGCTATAAATCACCATGCAGAGAAAGCAGTATTACTTAGCTAGTTTACAGAGAGCTGAAGTTTTACTTAAACACTTGGTTAACTGGATGAAAGCAGACATATACCCAACATACATATATAAACTCCATTATTATGAAATGTCTATAATTGACAAGCTCTTTCTATTCATGAAAAAACATCATAATCAGTTAGATTTTTTCCATGTACTCATGACACTGTGCTGCAACCAGCAATATTGCTAGTGTGCTGTAACCACCAATATTGCCAGTGTGCTGCAACCATCAACATTGCCAGTGTGCTGCAACCACCAACAATGCCAGTGTGCTGCAACCACCAATATTGCCAGTGTGCTGTTACCACCAATATTGCCAGTGTGCTGCAACCATCAACATTGCCAGTGTGCTGCAACCACCAACAATGCCAGTGTGCTGCAACCACCAACAATGCCAGTGTGCTGCAACCACCAACAATGCCAGTGTGCTGCAACCACCAACAATGCCAGTGTGTGCTGCAACCACCAACAATGCCAGTGTGTGCTGCAACCACCAACAATGCCAGTGTAAGGTGGCACTACCAGGAGTTGTCTTTGAGGTTTGGTGGTTATTGAGATCATTAGAATCACAACTTCTTCTGAGTTATCTCCCTTTCTCTATGGTCAGGTCTTCAGTTGTGAAGCTTCCTGCATGGCAATTAACCATCTGTAAAATAAATTTATATTTTCTTATTTTAAGGGACATTTTTCATCCCAAATACTTTATACCAAATGGCTTTCAAATAATTTACTATCAAACTGACAAATTCAAGAAAACTAGAAATGAGTGGATTGCACACAAATTCACTAAATTAAATAGAGTATGCTTTTTTGTGTGGAAAAATTCAACAATTAAAACCTCAGGGTAAGGCCATATAAAATTGAAATCTTGGTTCTCAGGCCCGCCCGCATCCGTTTTGAGGTAGCCGCATTGCCGATTTTATTGTATTTTTGATAAAATAAAAAGTTGGTATTGCGGAGACTAATTTTTACCCATTTGTTTTTACTTTAGTATTCAAATATCACTTCCGGTAGCCATTTACAATGAGATTTTGGATACTTCGTTTGAAAATACATTCGAGGACATTACCTACGATGTTTACACGCTGTTCAGCAATGGACAAAGCAGAAATTTTGATCAGAAATGGAAAGTTTATCTGTGATTAAAAAATTATCTTCATGTTAAAGAAAATTTGAAATTAAAATTAAAAAAAAAACCTCCCTCATCTACTTTATTGCCAATAAAAGGAAAAATAAAATGCCGCCCTCCCGCATCTGTTTTAGAGAAAATTGGCCTGAGAACCAGGGAATTAAATCTAGATAGCCTAAGTAAAATAAATTTTTTTTCCATTTTCCTTAACTATATAATGCTGAATATTTTGTTTGACAAATACTTAATGTGTTTAAGAGGCTGAGCAAACCTCAAATTATTTTTTTAGATAATGTACATATAGTCACTATGTTTTTTGTTTTTTTTTAATACATGAATGGTTTTTAAAGGGACATGGACACAGTTTCAACTGAATTTTTTAAACCAATTTTAATGCTTACAATTCCTAGCTAATGCAACATCTAATGGTAAGCAAAGATTTGAACATAATTCATTGATTAACAAACGAGATACAGAGATACCAGATAACGTTCTTTAAATTGTAAACAAGGCTTGTGACTTGTTTTTGTATACATATAGAAAATATTTATAACAAAATAAAATTCAGCAAATCACTAGAAACTGTCTACTTGTAGTTAGAACTAACTTCTTTATTCAAATTATCTGCTTTAGAACATATATAGTATAAAATCTCTGCAAAAAAACTTCTGTTTACATAACAAAAGTTTGGAGCTCTAAATCTGTCTTGTACCTCAACAACTGAAGTTCAATATCTGATGATCATAAGAAAGACCTTAGTTAAATATTTGTAAAAATGGAAAAATAAAATTGAAAATTTTTAGCTGAAACTGTGTCCATGCCCCCTTAAGGTTGCTGCTACGAAACATAACTTCTGGCACCTATGAACATGCAGCGAGGCTTATTTTTAATTTGTCTGATGGACATAGGATTAAAGGTAAAATTACAAATTTTACTACTTGTTTTGTTTAACTTGATCTCCATCCTCCTTTAGGAATCTTTTATTGGTTTTCTACTCTCTACAAGGTGTTCTTTTGTTCTGTACACCCTATCAGATGTTATGCTTTATAAGGTGCTTTAATACTAGTTCCATCTTCTCTACTAAATGTCTTACTTGTTCTCTATAATGTGATTTACTAGGTCTCTACTCTCTATAAAGGTGTTTTACTGGTTCTCTACACTCTATATAGATGTTTACTGGTTCTCTACCTCAATTCTCTATGAGGTGTTTGTTCCTTCTCTATCATCTAAAATTCTGTTTCTCAAGTTTTCAAATGATTACAATGAGTTTTATTTTAACCTTTGTGTGGTTGCTTCATCCTCTGAGTGGAAGATCAATCAAACAGTAAGTAGGCTGCACACAAACATACATCATTTAAACACAAAATATAAAATTTATCACCGTAATGGTACTGCTTCAAAAAGAAGATTTATCATAAAAAATACATATAAATTGAGTGAGAAAGAAATACTTCTAGGGAAATAATGACATTTCCTGTAATTATAAAAACATTTTTTTGTACATTTATAATTGTATGAGGAGAAACTATCAAAGAGTTAAGGGCTTTTAACACGTATATCTAAGAAACTTACTTTCCTCTTTGTAATAAAGTTGATTCAATTATTGTTTAGTTTTGTGTGAATGCATGGTTGTTTAGTTTCTGTTTATTATTTTTTGTTGACTGTTTTGACGGTAGTGGGTTTCCATAGAAGGGTATAGTGTTTTTATTTTTAGATGAGACATAGGATAAAAGTGACCGGTTACATATTTTACAACTTGTTTTCTCTCCACCAGGTGTTTAACTTACTCGTCCTATATGTTCTTGGGGTGTATCTTTTTATTGGACTGTTTGACTGGTCTAGAATAAGGAAGGCTTTTTGGACTGGCATATTTTTGGTTTTCCCTATCTCACTAGCCGGTAAGCGTATTTGTTTTGTTGGTCAGTTTTCACTTTTGTAAAATGTTCTTTTGTTTGGGTTTTTCTCTGTAAAGTTATAGGGTTAGTTAAACGTGTGATATTTTCTGCGTACTGTAGAAGCGTGAGGAGTTTTACTGTAATTCCTCTACACTACCTATGTTTACGTGGTGTCTCTACAGTATCATGGTCATGCGGGTGCTGCGGGTGTATGGTTTTAAGGACCTAAGACGTTCTTATCAAGCCGGAGGGTAAAATCCGGGCCTCCAGCTAAGTGGTGAATCAATATAGGCGATTGTCCGTATGTGTGTTTTAGGGGCGGATTGTGTGGTGGCTTCAGTCCTTCGTGACTAGTGTCGTAAATAGTGAATTTCAGTGATTTGTGTTTCTAAATTAAATTTGAGAAAGGAAATTCCAAAAACTATCATACAGTTTGTTTATTAAAGTGAACTTTTTCTAATTCTAATAAAGAACAGCTATTTGTTTATCTTTATAGCTGATACGTGAATTGAACAAAAGTAATGTTGATTTAAAGTTATTTATATTGTATCAGATATTTGTTAAACTTATTTCTGTTTCATTGCATTTCTAGTTTGAGTGTGGTGTGAAAGGAGGGAGAGAGAATATTATCATTATTTTTTTTTTGTTTATTTTCTTAAATAAATTTTTTTTGTTAAGTTTACGATTTGTTCTTTTATTTCAGCCATACAAAATTCCAGAGAACTCATTACACTCTTATAAAAGTAAACCAACTCCATATTATATAATTTGTTAAACTAATTCTTTCAAGAAATATTATTTCAATACTGACTTTTGTTTTCAACATGTATATGTACCTGGTATATGTTTACATAAATAACCTCTCAGATGAGCATTCACAGACATGTATTAAATAAACTTAGAGATTTATATAAGTGAATCAAGAAAATCAAAATATGCAATTAAACAAAATCAAAATATCAACTTCAATGTGGATTATTACCTTTTCGTAGTGTCCAATGTCATAACCAACAATACTGACACTGTCTGTCGCATTCACGTCCTACAAACAAACAGAAAATACATACTAAACAAATAAGTATTAACTTCAGTTTTACAAGGTACAACATACATTCTTCATGATTACAAAAAAAAATAAAATTTACAAAGCATTAAGAAGAATAGCAAATAGTTTAATATGAGCATTAAGGATTATGTTGCCTATAGACTAATGCAAAAATAAACATTCAAATAGGCCCAAGGTCCATAACAGTCATCTGAGTAAAATAACTGTGTTGACTTTAATCTTGTTCTAAAAGGAAATAATTCCTCTAAAAATCAAACAAAAATTTCTCTTTATGTTCAAGAGAGCCCTATCCTAAAACCAGAACCCCCAACCCAGTGGTCAAGAATTTCAAAATTATTTAGTAAAACATCTTTGCTAATTACAGCTTTGTACTTGATTAGCCTCTCAGATGTCCAGGATCATATATATATTTTAACTCCAAAGTTTCGAATCAAGAGGTCATGACTAAGACTAGAACCCTGATCCAACATTTTCACAATTTTGAGAGAGAAATCCTTACTCATAAATATCATGTATATACCTAGTTTTATCTGCGAAATATAATTTTACAGAGAATTTTTTTCTGAGAATGTATGCATTTTCATTCAAACAGTTTCAATGTTTGATCTCCAGAAGTAAAGAAGACTTTTAAAAGTTAACATAAATTTTGATGGTTTTTAGCCCCTCCCCTTAGGGCAGGGGGAATGGTGTTGATACCCTCCCCCATATACTATAATTAGTCAAAATTAGTTGAAATTGGCTCAGCAATTTCAAAGAAGAGGCTGAAAATGTTACCTATAATGACAGATTAAGCAGAACGAAATGAGTCTCAAGTAACTTAAAAATTGAAAGGCATTGTGATTATAAAGCTTTTATATATCCTAAAAATCTACTTACATTAAAACAAAATTAAATGATGTCTAAATACAAAAATATCAACATTACAAATGTTACATGTACATAATACTCTAAATATCCTGACATGTGAAAAATAGAGATATTTGAGGCACTTATTTGACTTCATGAAATATATATTTGCATAAAAAAAAATTCATATAAAAATGTATATCTTAGCCATGAGTGTTTCAAATTCTCTGGTATTTAGTCTTACTCAGAGGCCCTTAATGTATAGAGAACATTGTCCTGGTACTGTATACAGGGTTAAATTTGCCCCGTGTTATTTTCGCCCTTTTGCAACTACATGCAATTTTGCCCCATTTTAAATTCGCCCAGTCATAGTTTTGTTTAAGAAATTATGCTGTGTAATTTGAAATCGTCCCGTTTTAAATTCGCCCAATCAAGAAGAGGGCGAAAGGGGTGAAAATAAAACAGGGGCGAGAATTTTCCTGTATACAGTATTTAGTCTTACCTCAGAAGCCCTGAATGTATAGAGAACATTGTCCTTCATTAAGAACCAGTACTTTTTCCACTTCTTCTCTTTGTGCCACTTGAAAAGATATCCACTTATGGTAGCTTCTGGGTCATTGGCATGCTAAAGAAAAGATTGGAAGAATAATACACCATAAAAGTGATCAATATTTAAACTTTAAATCTTCTTTTGCAATAAAAAAACTAGAAAACTGACCAGTCAGCAAGGGCCCCGCCATGGGGTAGAATTATAAGGGTGCAGCTTATGGAATGATTCAAAAATATATGACGAATAAGAAACAGCAACTGTATTCTTAAAATTTCAAGATAATTCCTGAATATCTAAAAACCTGTAAATAATATCCTTGTATTTACATAATGCAGTAACGAACAACTCAACACTGAATGTATATCTAAACAATAATGAAGCTTGTGTTATATAAAATGCCAGCCTTCAATGAATGCAAATACATATATTCATGAAGGCTTGACCTAACTTCAAAACAAACAGCAGTTGCAAACAAAGGTTTTCATTAATCTTAAAGTGACAGATAAAGATAAGCCTTCTAAACTTTCTGCAGCAGACTAGATAATTAATCCCAAGCGATTAATTGTACTTCTCTCTCATCATTTTCTTCTTAATTTATAATAAGAACTTTTTCAGTAACGATAGAATGAGGTTTTTATCCTACTACCTTAAAAATTAATAATAATATTCTGGAATTTTCATGAAGCCAAAAAAAAAAAAAATAAATAAATAAAAATAAAAAATATATATATCTTCTATAATCTATTTCTTGTTTTTAGAATTCAATGAAATCAGAACTCATTTTTGATTTCAACAAAAATAAAGTAAAAACATTTATACTTCAATCCACATTTCAGAGTGTCCATAGCATTCCAAATGGACTTAACTTCAAAACAAACTTCATTTGCAGACATTGAGGTGGTAATTAATCTCAATGTGACAGATAAAGATAATGCTTTTGATTTTCTTCAGGAGGAAAGCTAATTAATCCTAAGGGACTCATACATTGCAGTATTCAGTTTACAATGGGAACATTTTCAGAAGTTATCTCTCTTTGCCAAATTGAATTCATTCTTATATAAAGTTATGGAATGGACCCCACCACCCCAGCTCCAAACCAGAGGACATAGAGAAACAAACTTAGCATCAAAATATGTCTTTTTGCCTACTGAACTACCATACCAAATTTGAACTTTATTGGGCAACCATAAAAAAAGTTATTAGGAAAAAACAGAAAATTTGTGGACGGAAGAGATGACAGACGGACAGACAGAGTGATTACCCCGGTACTATAGGGCACCCGCAAATCCTTGCGGGGCCATAATAAATGCATGTCTAAATCTTTTATAAAAAATTGAAGCATTTCTAAATATCTTCTAAAAATTATCTTAAGATTTATAATTTTGCAATTATATACTAACTCATTAAAACAAGTTTGCTGATCTCAGTAATTGCTTACTGAATGTACAGTATTTTTCAAAGAATGAACAATTTCTTTCACAGGTCTGTTGACTTACAATTTGTAGTCTGCTGGGTCTACTGTTTTGACTTACAATTTGTAGTTTGCTGGGTCTACTGTTTTGACTTACAATTTGTAATCTGCTGGGGTCTACTGTTTTGACTTACAATTTGCAGTCTGCTTGGTCTACTGTTTTGACTTACAATTTGCAGTCTGCTGGGTCGTTTTGTGGCTGGTTGGTGGGTAAATCTGGCACTGCGTCGGATCTGACGAAATCTCTCTTTCAGATTCCCGAGATTGAGAAACGAGCCGTCCTGAGCCTGTGTAAACTTCTCATCTATCCCATGTACCTTCTCTTTCTCATCCAAAGCTGAAAAAAACGAAGCAAAACCTCTTTTTCATACAGGCATATAATTCATTACATTAAGGACTCACAAATTTCACTTGTGCAATATGCAGTAAGGCTCTATTCTGACATTTACGTGATCTCAAAATTAATGACATATACTGAAGAATATAATTTTGGGATGTTTTTAAAATCTCATTGGTTTTCTTTCTTATAATCACTGGCAAGTGAAAACTTCTGAGAGATGTGAACAGAAAATGGTTTCTGGCAATGATGAAGCATTAAGAAACTTAACCTACCCTCCCTGAGTTTCTCGAAACACTCATCACAGACTCGGACAGGCTTATTCCTGAGGTACTCCAAGGGGGCTTTGTTATCAGAGCAGTTAGAGCACACAACCTATTGGTAAAAATGATTAAAATCATGTTAGAATTTCTACAAACAGAAAAAAGGTTAGAAATTAGTAAGCCATCAGTTACATATGTACAGATGAAATGACAGAAAATCACACATATTTAAAATCAACTTTCAGTAAACACGTTACTTAAAAGCTTCAATGTCTCATATCATAAATACTGTCAAGTCCTGGTGACATTTTCTTTATAATTATAATTCTTTATAATTTTCCCCAAAACCCTTGATTCCTCAGATTTCAAAGTTTTTTTTTTTTAGTTTCATTGTTAAATTTTGTCAAACTCTTTTTCTCAAAAAGGAGAAAATGGCCTACCCTTCCACATGCTCTACAGTGGTGGCGTCTCCAGGTTACAGAGAATTCCGACGTACAGATCATACACATGGTAACTCTGGTGTCAGGGATCCAGATCGGGGCCTTAGAACCCAGCTCATAGTTCACGTCATAGATATCATAGAACGACTGCAAAATAAGAGGCACTAGCACTTAAATACTGAGGCATCAACAACAGAAGGCCCAATGGCCACAAAGCTTACCCAAGTTAAATAGTCTAGCTGTTCTTAACAGATTTTAATAATTTTGTGATTTATTGAATCTCCAAAACTTGGAAATGCTTGAAGATAAATGGTTCTAATGCTTTTCTTGAATAATGACTATGTACCCAAGCAGCTTATCATTAATGCACCCACAAACATCCCTACCCTAATAAACTTTTATGTACAAGTTATTACCATTGTAATGAAAATATAAATTATCTGTTATCAAATTAATAAAATTTGACAGACAAAACTTCAAATTCAATTCCCATAAGTCCCATAGGTACTCAGATGAGTCTGTGAAAATTGAGAAATAAACACAAAATTGAGACAGCATGATGTACACACAGAGCTAATTCAATGTGATACCACTTAGTTAGAATGAAAAAACTCCACGACTATCAATTTTGTGGTGGTAAGCGTTTGCTCTCTGAACCAAAACACCCATAAAATAATTTTTGAATGTTTAAAAATGAATTTGTTGAAAATCTGTGCTACATTGATTGTAAAAACAAAATAAGGATAAGTCAGTGAAAGGAGATCAAACTTTAAAGATACCAAAACATCGGTGTGTTCTGATTCACACTGGACTGTCTGAAAAAAGATAAATGCAGAAAGATCTTGTCACAACGCCAGAATGGGAAAAATACAGTTAATTCTCGATAAACCGCCACCTTTTGTAATTTAGAAATCATGGCGGTATAACGAATTTGGCAATGAATTGAATTTTCCATCTTTTAAGAAAATAAGACGTAGAGTTATCGTTCTTAGAAATACCATTTAGCGATTCTATTCTCATTATCACATGTACATGTATATATAAACATATTTCTAAATTTGAAAATACTTCAAGTAATTTTTTTAATGTACAATTTTGCTAAAACAAAATATTAAGTTATGGAATTAAGACAAGTACATGTGTATGCATGTGGTAAATCTGCACGTCTGATATTGAAAAAAAAATGCTGGGTCGATCGTTGTGATATATTGCCTATAGTACGTAAAATAAGTTCTTGAATATATTCGTTGTTTATGAAATCATTGTAAATGAAACATTCACAATTTCTGACTAATAATTATTTTTAAAGCAAACTTTGCATTGTTTTTAAAAGCAGAGATCATCAAAATAATATCATTATCGACGTACTTTACAACGACCGCTTTCGTGGAGAAGCCTTGACTATAAATGATTTTATTCAACAGAAAACAAAATTATTCTAACAGTTCATGTTAAAATTATTGTTTACTTAATTGCACGTACCTTGACTGGCTTTGCATGCTTTAATTACAACAAGGATTTTTTTTTTTAAACCGATTAGCCGCGCTTTTGACCACATGCACCTGTGACGGTATTATCGAGATAATTGACACTTAAAATGGACGTTTGTTGTGAAAACAGGGTGGCGGATGGCGGTATGCGAATTTGGCGTTATAAAGAGAATTTTATATAGCAGGAAAAACGTTCTTGGGAAATCATGGCGGTATCGTGAAAATGGCGATGAATCGAATGGCGATAATTCGAGAATTGACTGTACATCTTAAATGTGATATGTTGTACATATATCATTTATAAGAAATTTGGAATATTCATGTACCGGCACATTACCAACAAGCATTCTGAGAGTATTGCATAAAAAATGTCCCCTGCTGTTCCCCTTTTCCTTGAGGATTGTCATTTTGTAATATGCAAAAGTTATGGAAAGGTAAAGATGCATGATTTTTAGGTTGTGAATGCCTTAAACTTAAACCTAATAAAATAATCCACATTAATACGAAAATTCAAACATCCAACATCTCTCGCTTCATATTTATGTCGACCATCGGAAGTTACCACTGTAATGAAAATATTAATTAAACGAAAGTGAAAAATTTAAAATGCCATAATTCTGACAAAAATCAATTCCCATAAGCGGAGGAAATTCAAACTTGATCTGTGAAAATCAAGAAATCACATACACAAAATTCAGTTCAATATGCAAGCGTTTACAAGAAATATTTCAATGGAAAACCAAGTAGGGCAGACTGAAAAACGGGGACAGACTATCAAATTTGGGTGGACAGAGACAGACAGACAGACAAAACACCCATAAAATAATTTTTGAATGTTTAAAACCGAATTTGGGGAAAATCAAAAGAGTTCTTTAAACTTTGGCAACTATATACAACTGGATACTGTAAACCAAAACATTGCTGTGCTGAATTTTTGGAAGTTCGAGAGAGATCGTCATAGCAGAAAGATCTTGTCACAACGCCAGAACCGGAAAATTAAAGTCTATGTGTCTATTTAAAAGAAACCTTAATAGGCTTTATCGCGAAAATTAATCGCCGCGAACTGGTTTACCCCTGGCAAATCGCGAAATAAAGTCATCGCGAATAAAAGTTGGTTATACATTTCGATATGCAATGTTGAAAAAAAAAAAGGCTCCATAGGAGGAACTTTTTGTTCACACAAGACCCGGTTGAAACAGGAGATGTTTGAAAAACACTTATGCCCCCTCCCCCCTAAAAATTGAAAATTTTTCAAGTCCAAGGGGCATAACTCTGTCCAAAATGGTTCAACTGTACTGACTAACAGACCGACCGACAAACAGCAGCTATACAATATGCCCTCCCTTCTTTGAAAGAGTGCATTACGAAAGCTTTATGGAAGAACTATTCAGGTTAGAATTCTCACCTGTCCTCCCGTTCTTCCGTTCTCAAACGTGTTCCTGCGTTGAGCCTGGTCATCAATAGCCTTCTGTAGTGTGTCCACCCAACTGTCTCTCTCCACCTGATTTCTACAACAATTCAGTTCTATTTCATTATGTACATATATACCATAGATTAAAGAGATGGTAAGTACCATTGTTTTATAAATGTACTTCGGAACCTTAAAATGTGAACTTATTTTAGCAGAGAATGTTTTGTATGACAGATAGATTATCTTTATACTTAAAAAATAATGGTATATACTTATCTGTACCATTTTACATTAAAAAAAAGTTTATTTTAGTACAAACAAAAAGACCCACACTGAAATACTTCACACAAGTAGCCTCCCTTGTCACATTACTTACTTAGCGACCACCATAAACGACCGCTGTATACTAATGATGTTGAACTCTGTCTTCAGATCATCTCTCTTGGGCTTGCTCACCTAAAAAAGAAACAGGGAAATGAAATCATTGAATAATCTATAATTTGTACCTTTTTTTGAAAGTATCTTGATAGGAGTTATCTGTTCTTGCTTACTTTCATTCCCACAAGGGTCAGTGCATTATTAAATCTGTAGCCTCCTGTTGCTATTGGTGACGTGTACAACAGGACATCATTAAACTGAAAAAGATAAATTCTTCTATAAACCTTAATATTAAATGATTTTTTTTATAGCATGTCAGAAATTCAAACTGTTTTACAAATGTTCCAATAAAATATTTTTTTTCACTTTACAAATGATTTTATTTCTCTTACCAGAAAGAACATCCTTGGTTGCATTTCTTTTCTTGACAGCTTCATCAATTCTCCTTCTTTCAAAAATGTCTTCAAGAGAATAGCTTTAATAATAAACCTTTATAGTTCTATATTATCAAATCATGTAAAATCTCAATGCAAAGTCATACTCTAGCCTTTTAATTTAAGTTATCTGGCATGTGTACTGTAAAATCCCTAACTTTTCCTTATTTTAGTGGGGTCAAATTTTCGTGCTTTTGATGAAAAAACAATCATTATTGGAGATTTGATTTTATGGTTGTAGAGAATTATAATATTGCATTTTCCAAAATTAACATAACTATTCCTATATTCCTTTGTGGGGCTATACAATGCAAATCACAGCTTCACAAGAAATCAATGATATCATAGTATACTGAAGAATGTTTTCTAGTTTAGGTGGTTAAATTCAGTGGAGAATGATCAGATGCCGTGTTTCTCTGAAATCCAGACCTACCCTGCCCGGCTTGATGACTTCATAATTCCCCTCCACGGACTTCTGGATCTCCAACATCTTCTGTACATGGTCCTGAAAAAAAAAAACATCATTTAGGCCCAAAAAAATTAATAAATTGTTTCTCAGGCCAAAAAAAATCAAAATTCAATGCGGCAGGCAGGCTTTTTTTTTTTTTTTTTTTTTTTGAAGCAGGATTTAGTCTACACCTTTTTTTTTTAAAAGTCATTTGTTCAATAAAATGATAATATTTACTAATTCTCAACTTTTGTTCTCTTAAATTAGTTATAATATGTATCATACATGTTAACCTATTGTGATGAAAAAGAGGGAGATTCAGACCTCAAAAGCGGTAGCATTGCGCGCGTTGTTTAACGCTTGGATTATCGATATCTTTCATGTAATATACATGTATATTATAAGCCTTAAATGAAATCAGGTACCTACACTAATAAATCTTAAATATCAACAGCAAAGAAGAAGACAGAAACACCCTAAGTTTGACATAAATTGTACAAATTCAAATATTTTCATGCTGATCATTTTGCTTGGAATAGCTGCTTTATAGCCTTTTGAAGAGTGATCTTTGCTGAAATAGCCTAGAAGCAATAATTCTGAATATTCATTCAGTTTTTAAACAAAACAAATGATGGCATGGTTTAATCTAGATCTAAAACAAGTTCGTATTTTTCGTTATATAAATCAGATTTCCCGCGATGATAGAGATGTGCCACATGGCTTGGTCAATCGAGGGATTTCTATTGACTTTATTGATAAAGTTGTGAGCTTCTGTGCTTTTAAAGACGATGTCAAATGTTTTCATCTAATTCTTAAAAGCTGTATCTCCTTTTTCATGGCAGGGATGTTGATTAATTTATCGTAACCAATGTAATCACTGGTAGTCTTATGTTGTTGTCGTTGTCAAATCCGTCAAATCTATGTACAAAAAAGCGTTTGTATGATTCTGAGTCAAATGCGATATCTAGCGAGATTTTATGAGAGTGGCTTCAAAAATGGATACCCAAAAACCAAAACTACTTTAGACGCAGCTTTTGTAAAAGCGGTAGATTTCAGAATTAAATAGGTAGGCATGCTTAAATATTCGGGAGAGTTAACATGTATGTATGTATTCAACTTTAAATAATGTTATTCCAACTTATAAAATACTGTAGATTTAGAAGAAAGCTATTGTTTTTCTAATAAACACGTCTATCTTAGCATTTATGAAAAGGACAATAACTCGATTTTCTTTTTCAACTTGGAAAAATAGAAAATTGGGTTATTCATATGTTAAAATTGTCAGTTTTTAAAAAGGGTGCTGAGAAACTATTGATTAATTTTTTTGGGCCTTATACCTCACTGTTTATACACATTAATTTTATAAAGCTCTATGTTTATTTTTTAATCTTCTCACAGAAAATTATTATAACAATGAACATTTGATGTTCTGCATACTCTGATCATCTGTTGAGTAAGTTAAGAGGAAATATTCTATTCATTATTAAGCTTTCAACATCTGACAATTATGTAACATCCTGTCTAAGAATATATCCTTTTAATAATTAAGAAATCTTTCTTGAACATTGTCCAAAGCCATTAATATACAGACCCCTTGTCTCATGCTTTCGTTGGCATGGTCGGCAACATTAGACACAATCTCTAAGGCAGCTGTGGATAAAAAGAACAATCATAAAACTCAAGGTATCAAGTTTGAAAAAAATGGTTTATGCATGTGCAGTCTAAAATATTTCTATATGAAAATTTAAACTATTAAGAATATAAAATTTTTATCGTATGCTTCAATATTATTAAACATAATTCTTAATTAGTACATTTGTACAATGTTTAAAGTGCAGTATGAACACATACTTATTTGATAATTACATCATGAAGCATTCGTTTTAAAATGTCAAAAGGGTGCAGGAAATTAGAAACATCACTGAATCAAGTTACAAATAAATCTATGATCTATAATCATGTTGATTACCAATTCTTTAATGTGTTATATTAAACATTCATACAAATCTGATCCCAATGTAGAAATGTTAATTTATAAGGATCTAACAAAATATAGTACAATTTTACTATTTGTACTTTGTGTACCTTCAATTCCTCAGAATTTCACCATACGTACAAAATGCATATATTTTACATTTTACTGATATTGTATAATCCCTGAACTTAGACACAGATTTTGATTGGTTAAAACAATCAAACCACAATTATGACAAATTATATTTGTCTACACCACACCCTCTCTAACTCTGACAGCTACGTCCTTCACACTCCATAAGTAGCTCCCTCCTCTGACACATGTACATGACCTGGGTGCCCCCTAAGTCAGTATAACCACATCAATAGGAGACCAGACTTTCCTGTCCTCACTAGGTCAAGTGTTACATAACATTCCTACTGTGTTAAGAGTTTGTCTCATAAATGTACATAAGAGCCAGAAAAAAGGATAATGCACCTCTTATACCCAATCTTGGTCAATGAAGTGTACACAGTAAGAACCATTGTTTCAGGCATATTTTTCCATATGTATGCCTGCTCATCACAAATGAGTATTTCAAGGTCTTAAAATGCCTTCTGTATAATTAATATCCCAATTTGACCTTATATATTTCACTCGCTTCTTGACTGGCATATTGAATTGCCAAATATAAAAATGCTTTTTTGGGGGGGGGGGGGGGGGGTTCTTTTACATATTTATTTCACTTCTAAGGATCAAAGCATAAAATGATATAATATGCAATACTATGCACTATTCATGCTTCATTCACTGGTCTTCATATCGCTTAATTAAACTGACATTCCAGGGATATAGTATTTTTTATCCCCAGTATGGCACTTGAAGCAATCTGAATGACTGTGGCTTTTTTTAGTACCAAGCAGCAAAGACCATTAATATTTTGCCATTTATAAAGCATGTGACTATGTGCTAGAAGTCATGTGTAGTTGAATGCATTTTTAACAACAAAAAATTTATTAACATGCAAGTTAGTTTGAATATAACACTGAAGTTATTAATTGCAATCTTTTTTTTAATTATTTTATACTTAAATGAAGCACATCAATTCAGATATCATTCAAACTCATAAAAAAACATTTCTACTTTAGATTAAACAAAAAAAAATATCATTTATATCTCAAGCATTTTCCAATATACTTCAAAATACAATTATAGTTCATGTATGAAGTACATGACAAATATCACTGTATAACTGTGTCACATAAAACCCTACAGAAAACAATTCTCATACACTCACCTAAAGTATTGTTATAATCAGGCGAATCAGGGGTCAAGTGTTTCCGATAATCTAGAAATAAAAAAAGGAATATATATATATTACTCCTAACATACATGTATACAAGTCATCTTGTGATCTGACTGATTCTGAATCATTTCATAAAATTACTCATCTTTTTGTTTTCTTTTTTGAAATTTTTTTTTAATGTTGCTTTAAATACTTTAAGTGATTTTCATTCCTCATGACTTAAAAATAATTGTAAAACATAATGGATAAAATGAACTATGCTTATAACGAAGCAAAATTGCCCATTTCTGACACTTTGTTATGAGCATTTTATTGTATCAGATACCTTGGAGCAGTAGTCTATATTGAGGTATTCTCTGTATGGGTTTTAACATGTAGTGTTTCAATGCCAGACTGGCACATCTTGGACTTCTCTGTAATAATTATAACATGAGAAATATAATCAACACATACTTTTTTTCTTATATGTTTGATATTTAAGGCAATACAAAAACATGTATTTTCTATACATACACAATATTTATATAATGAAAGCTATTTAATGCTTGAAAATAATGGACACTTGTTAATTTATCATTGTTCACATAAAATATTAAGTGTCCTCATATTGCATTTTAAAGAAAATCTTTTAAAAGGGGCTTATTCTAGCAACTTACTTTGCCTTTCAAATAACACCATATACATATCATCAAGAAATATACCTAATTACAATCATTGTTTCAGACTTTGATTTGACCACAACCACCCAGCCCTCTAAAAACTCCCACCTCGAACTGTTTGACCGCTGTGAGAAATGAGGGATGTCTTTTACATGCTTCATCCAGAATCTCGTTCGCCTCCGAGAAGTCCTTTATGTAGGATGTATACAGCTTCAGGAACGGTCCCTTCTTAACAAAAATGTCAGCGACCTGAGGCAGCTCATCCCTGGAGAATAAAATGTTCAATTGTAAACAGGCTTTAAAATAAAACAATAGAAAAGTTCAATATTTAACAAGATTGATATTCATTATGCATCTTGGTCTTCTGCTGCATGCTAGAACTATCAACATAATTCTGCAGAGTCAGTACTTAATTTTATATAAGCTAGGTCTCTATTTTTTTACACAATTAATAATATCGTAAAAGCTATGCCTAGTGGAACTTCATTCAACATTAATTGATAGCTTGTACATTTTTGAATAAGGCCTAGAAAAAAAATATGTTTGTTTTTTGTGAAAAATATAGGGTAGGTAGGTAGGCAATTTTTTTTTTTTTGAAAAAAATTTTTTTGCTCCTTTATAAATGTATAGAAGTAACATTAATGACAAAAGAAATGGTGTTTTCAAGGTAACCCAAACTTCTTTCTGTATGAAAAGCTTGCAAAGTTGGACTATAATTTCTGGTTGAAATCTTGCACATATATTAAAAAAATATTTAGAGTCGGCACTATAAATTAGGGTCGGTTGGGAAAGCGGAAACAAACATATTTTTTTTCTAGGCCTAATTGCCACATACCAGTAGTGTTTTTTGTGATAAAATTTGTAAACTGTGTGGAAACCTGCTATCTGCTCACTTGGCTATAAATTTATCAGCTGTTAGATATTTTGATTAATTTGTAGTTATATCGGTATTTAAGACTCTGTTTACATAATTTGATTCCGTTTCTCTATAATACACAAAGAAGTGTGAACTTGATATACTTGAAAGCTGCTCAAATTTACAAATTAAGATTACCCCCTGAAAGTAATGACTAGATACAGTGTACATGTATGTGGCATCTTAGTCTATGTCACAATTCTCTGTCTCTAGTTAATATACCAATCAGGAATTGAGATCAGAAAATTTATTTAAATTTTCAAAATTGTTTATTCATATTGTACCCCAGAATGAGAATTCTCAAGGAAGACTCTCAACACTCAAATCAAGAAAAGTAAGTCTCTACCCCCTCCTTGAGCCTCTATCCCACCTTCCATGAGATTCCCCCATCTTGGAGCCTCTATACCCCTCCTTCAGCCTGTACTCCCCCTCTTTGAGCCTCTTATCCCCCTTCATTAGCCTATATTCCCCTACTACCTCTACCTCCCAACACACACACACTTACCATTTGTTAAGTCGCTCCTGTAGGTCTTTAAGCAGTTCCTCGTTTAAGTTCTGTAACTGTGGCAGGTAGTTCAGGACTTTATTGAGGATTTCATTTGGAATCACAGGTTTGCCATTCGCTTCTGTGGCTTGAGAAATGAACACTCGAAAATCCTAAAAATACAGTGGTTAAGGTTATTACATGAACATCTGAATGTATGAAACAAAATTTATATATTAAAGATGTTTCTATAAGTACAAATAGCAATTTCATGTAGTTATTTTATCCTTGTAATCTTAATTAATCATAACAATATACCATACATATTTATCAAGTTGAAGTTCTGTCTTTTTTAACTACAAGAATTTTCCTTAGAATATGATATCTTAACATCTACAAGTAGCACCATACTATACATGTATTCTACAAATGGAATATGACCAGGCATTACAGATTTTATGAGTACAATTACTTATTGTTAGTAAAATCCAGATCCAATAAGAAGGCATGATGATGATGAAAATATGTTTTTTGGTTTTTATTTTGGAACACCTTTTATTCACTCCCCATCCCCTACCCTTCTCCTGAAAGACCTGCATGGGAATAAAATTACACCTGGACTTTTGACATGCCTAGTAGCTCATAAACAAACGATGCTTAGTTCATTACTCAAGAGAACAATATACAAACTTTAAATGTAAAACCAAAATTAATTAATTGCTTGCAATTGCATTTCAATACATATACAATATTTCGAGAAGTGCGCAATCTTTTTTTTTAGTGCTCGAACTTCCTGAAGCTAGTACAGTGAATCTCTCACAAACAACTCTGGCAGTGACCCCCTGTTTATATCTAGAGGGTTTTCTGACTCGCAATATAAACTTACCACATTCAGAAGTCTTAAAACATCAACAAAAACTTCCTCTGATGAACAGATCTCCTTAACGATGTGAAAAATTTTTCTGGCCCATTTTCTGGCAATCTGAATTTAGAGATCAAGTTCTCAATAAACAAGTTACAACAAAAACAGCTCAAAAATTAGTCTTATTTACAATCCAAAATTCTAAGAATTCAATGCCATTTGCTCTTGGAATGTTACAGAGAAAAATATCATTTTAAGCGGTTAAATGATATAATTAATATAATAATTTTAAATGGAAATTTATGGAAACAATAAACTTAAGATGAATATAACAAAAATCAGAAACACCAAAGTATTACCTCTACCATATCTACATTCATAGCTCTACAAGAATTTTGTTGTTTTTGGAACATGTTGTAAACTGTTAGTTTCCTGATTTAGTTTTATATTTAATATGAATGGATTATGATCACAAAACATAAAAATTAATTTGGTCAATATACATTGAGAGTAAAATACTTAAAAATTTGTATGTCCAAAAACATGAAAAACAAGGAAATAGAACAATTAAGCATTTAAAAATTAAAAAAATTACATTCGGGAGTGGATCAAAATTCTATTATTATACTACTAGATATCAGTAAATACATTTAAGAACACATAACTATCCTACCTTGTCTTCTTCATTTTCACACTCGGAGTCGTCTGTACTCAGTTCGTCATTTCCTGGACTGCCATGACCAAATGACCCACTTTCTGACTGACTACTGAACACACTGACCACACTCACTGGACGATCAGAGTCTGAGCTGAGGACGGAGGTCGACGTGGAGAAACTGGTGTTGTAGGTCCGAGGTGGAAGATCAGGTGGAGAAGGAGATTTTTCTTTGTGGAGAGTGGAGTCAGACGGTGGATTAATCAGATCTTCGGGGATGTAATGATATTCATGAGAGTCGACATTACTCGAGTCATCGTCACTGTGAATAGGGGCTGAAAAAGAACCTTGGTGAATTTTGTTAGTGGAAACTCCAGGTGTGGGATTAGGAACATCCTCTGAAGAATCTTTGTTAGTTTTGGGGATGGGACTAGCTGAAGGAGGAGGAGGGGGTGCTTTTCTTGAGGGACGAATCTGGCGTTTTGTGTTTTGCAAATTTGTTACAGAGTGAGTGTTTCCAGAGGCATGAGAGGACTTCTGATTTTCAGGACTAAGTGAAGTCTCTAATTCTCTCCTATGATCTGCTAAAGCTATCTCCCTCAACAGTGCATGCTGGTTGGCCGGAACACAGAAATCCACAGTCAAACTTCTACCCTTGCCCACATTCCTACCATGTGCTTTTCTAGGTGGTAATATAGGGTGGTTTTTTCCACCTTCGTCATCACTGATATCAATACTTATTCCTTTATTGCACATTTCCAGTCCTTGTGGACGAATTCCAGAAATATCTGACTGACTCCTAGTAATGTTCTTGTTGATTTTGTGTCTCTTAGGTTTGGGAGGTTGCACTTTTTTACCACCTGGAGGTGGCATGTCATTTAATGATGTGGATGATCCTCTGAAATCAGAACTGGGCTGATTTGAGTCAAAACACATGGATGAAACCTCTCCCATGGACGACTTTCTTCTGGATTCTTTCTTTGGACGAGGTGGTCTGATTGGCACATCTGCGGTTTTCTCAGTAGAAATATCTTCGGGTGAATTCTCAAGACTGATCATCCTCTTTGTGACAATTTTCTCAATTTCATCTAAAAGTGATGAAGTCTCTGGAAGTTCTGCCTCCATATCTAACACGGTTTTACTGGACTCACTGTCCAAGTCTTTAACAGTGATGGGTTTGTCCTCTGCAATGGGAGATAGCATTTTTTGTGTTGTAATTTCATCAGATTGGACAAAACATGTACTGTTATCATGTGGAGTCCCACTTGTTAAATCTAGACCTTGCTTCACGTTGTCTTGGAAACTTTGACGAGTGACTTCCTTAGAGTCTGAGGTATCACAGATCGTTGGCTTTTCTTCTTCACATGTCTTCTCCTTAGCATCACATTCTGTTTTAACACTTTTTTGTGAATTTTCAACCACTGATTCTGATGCCTCCATCACAGTAACATTGACTTCCTCTCTGAGTTCTGACAGTAATCCTTGATCCACTGTATCATTATCCACACTGTTTTTCTCTTTTTCCACATTACTTTCCATGAAATATTTCACTTTTTCCACATTACCTTCTATGAAGTCTTTCACATTATTGTCCACATTACATTCAGTGGAGACTTTCACCTTTTCTACATTATCCTTTTTATTGGTGTCTACAGTTACCTCCACATTACATTTAGTGGATTCTTTCACATCAGCTTCTGCTTGAAATGATCCCTCCGTTTCTTTTTCAAAAAGCTCCTTTGAATCATTAGCACCACTTTTCTTTTCTTCCTCCGTTGCTTCACTTCTCTTCCTTGGACTAGGAGTAACAGATTTTCTAGGCTTGGGCATTGGCCTTGGCCTAGGAGAAGGAGTTTTATGACCACTGCTGAGATTTCTAGGACTTGGCTGTAATTTGGCATTTTCAAAATTTCCATTTATATCCTGTGTTGATGTGTCACCCTCCACTTCCACAGAAAGCAATGTCAGAGATTCCTTCACATCTGAATCTATACAAAGTGATGGAGACTCAGAGTTTGATAATGGAGTTGATATGTTTTCAAGTTTTGGTTGAGAATCAATAGAACTAGAAATGACCTTTTGGTCTCCATGTCTCTTTGAACTCACTTTAGGAGGAACTTTTGGTGGAGTTTTGATAGGTTTCTTAACTGACTTTGAACTAGAATTTTCCATTCCAAACACAGTTCCTTTAGGGTTTATTAGTGTTTCTGTGTGGGTATTACCAGAGCAACTTGCACTTTTATCAGGATTCTGGTTTTGTGACTGCTCAGAAGAAAAGTTCACTGAATCCTCAGATGTCACATAGAAGCAGCTTTGTCCTAAGTGAGTTTCCTCTGCATTGTCTTCATCATCATAAAATGTGCTCTTTGACCCTTGAACCTTAGACTTTCTGACTACATTGGGAGAATTAGAATTTGAAGCCTTTGGGCTGCGATTTTGATTTACACTTGAATTGGAGGAAGTTCTTGGAAGCCTTGGCCTAGGAGATGTAGAAAAACTTTGGGTTTTGGACAGTTTTGTTAAATCTTCATTTGATATTGATGGTGTATTTTGATTTAATTCACAAATGCTATTGGTGAAATATGGTTGGTCAACATTCGAATTTGAGTCATCAAATGACCCATTTAAGGTGGTTTCAATGGAAGTTGATATGCAGTTGCCATTTGCCAGTGCATGGTTTGTGTTGGTTTTGTGCACTGTTGTGCTGGGTGCTGTGCTGACAGTTGCTGTGCATTCTGCTTTTCTAACACCACTATTAGGTGGGGTTTTGGGTAGCGGTGGGGGTATTTTCTGTGACTTTGCATCTAAAACAGACAATTTATTCCAAAACGAGATTTAAATTTCTGCTCATTTCCTTTGACTGTTATTTCTTTAAACAAAACTACAAGGTGGGTAATGTGCAATAAAACATTATTACAAGTGAATATCACACAATTTGCAATAATTGTACAAGGAACAAAACCAACAATAAGCATATTTCTGACTTACAGAACAGCTATAGAAACTGACCAAAATGTTTTTCAATTATCTTTTTTTAGCCCAAAAAATTTCCATCATACAATAATGTGCACCCTCTTGCTATGCCAGATTGAAAACCGTGATATTTTTTACAATGACTCACCTTTCTTAGGAGAGGCACTCAGTGACTGTGTAAGGTTTGCAGGTTTTTGACTGATCGATGGCTTCTTTGGCACAGGTGGCTTGCATCTTGGGAGTCTGGAAGAAAAAACAACATGTATTTGTTTTCACTATAAATGACAGATCCTAACAGCAGAATGGCTCTCTGCTTTTATTTTCTTAGATATTTTATTTCCTTTGAACGAACAGAAGTAAACATTTACATTTTCTTAAAGAAATCCTCTTTGTCTAAGCTTAGCTCTAAGGTGACCTTAAGTAAACAAATCAGAGATCAGGTAATTAATTTCTATGGGTGTTACCCCTACAGAAAGCTCAGGACTATAATGCTCACCTGTTGCAAAACTATCGCATATAATGATAACCATACATACTTCTAATGTAAACCTACTAACCACCCCAAAGTCACAGCATTTTATTGGTTAAAATGACAGAAAAAACTTAATCTAATACATCTGAACATGTACTGAAATACATGGGTCAAAGGCAATAATCTTGTTAATGATTAGCAGATACTGATGACTAAATGAATATAATGCAAAAACAGGATAAATCAATGCACAGGCATCTGGAATTTTTATGCTATATCATGTGAACACTGTAGTGGTATGCATAATCCAAATGTCAAGGAAAAACACAAGTTTTGATAAACAAATAATATACTAAACTGACTCAGTCAAAAGTTTAAAATTTAGATATCTGATCATTACTTTAATTTATTTATGCTCTGCTAATCAAGATAGGGGAAATTGAAAATGTTTTCTCAGAGATAAGTACGATAACAGAAGCTTGGTACCAGGTGCATTACCATACATTTCTATCCAAACCCAACCCAGCAGGGTGAAATATACATCTCAGCTAATTCACTGACAGGGACCCGTAGCAAATTATTTTTCCTCCCCATGAACTCACTGTACCCATGGTTTTTCATTGAACAGACTTGATGTAGATAGTTATCATGGAGAAAAATATGTCATTTACATTTACCTTTTTTTCCTTTGTTTACAATACAAGTTTGTTAACTTTAAAAGAACATTCCTTCTTTTCTTCCCTTCTTTTTAATAAATTGATGGTCATTTGTTTTTCTTCTTTGAATGCTTACTGCATTTTATTTTGAAATAATTTTTAATAATGGCATTTTTTGTAAAGGTTAATACTTTAAGTGAAAACATGTAATGTTGTTAACCTGGCCACTTAACATGCTTAAAAATCTTTATTTTTCCCTTCCATACTTCAAAAAATAAATAAATCATTCATGTTTAGCAGTATTAATTAGTCATAAACACTAAAACCAAAACATATTAAAGGCATATGTTATACATAGAGAACAAAGTAAAAAATCTTGTAAATGCATGGTAATCCTACAGTTTTAATGACAGAGCTTTGGTTTAATACAAGGACTTGTAAAATATGGAAACACGCTTTTGTCATGTTGGATTGCTACTGCTCATACTTGTATGTTCATACATGTAAGTTTACTTTGGTGTGTATTTTAATAACCCTTTGAAAAGTGTTGGGGGGAGGGGTTGTAAATTGTTATAAACTTATGTACCTCCTTTGAACAAAATGAAATTGATGAGACTCCATTTATGACACATTCTTGGAGATGCCCCATTATTATATACAGTAGGAAGTTTCCTTTGATTCCCCAAGGAAGAAACCCGAGATGTCCCCAATGTTTGAGAAACTTCATTCTTCTATTTTAAGGAATTACTCACCTTTCTTCACTGGTATCAGTCTGACTCACAGGGCCAGGGTCTACAACAAAAACAAATCAATATTTAATGATGTACTGTAATAGTACTGAGTAATGCAGGCTTCCCATTTCAATACACAATAATCTGCAGCAACACCTTTTGTCAATGCGGTACATGATTGTATACAATTTCTGCTTGTTTTCTACAACCTTGCATTAGTTCCTCAAAATCAATTTTTTAGGGGTAACTCAGACTTTTAGCCTCAGATATGCTACAAAACATACCAGAATTATCAAAAAGCATGTGCAAAAAAAACTCAAAAAAATCCTTTTGAAATAATTCAACCTTTCACACCATAGGTGTATCTATGTCTTTCAAATTTTCAGTTTTTTATACAATTAGCCACATTTTATCAAAGTTATACCACGTGCTGCAAATCGTAAAATCAATCATGTAAAACAACACCATAGATAATAACCGCCATGTTTTTCTTCTTCATCGTAACAAATGACTTTTAATGCCTTTATAAAAAAAGAAGAATTTTATCTCGCTGAAGCAAATTTACGGATTGAAATTTGAATCCCAAGGCATCTATAAATAAATTTCAGTCTTAATCTTACACATTTTAGTTTGTAGATATTGGTAATGATCTAGCTATCTTTAATTATAATCAGTATAACCTAATGCAGTCCAAGTAAAACGGTAATCAAAACAAAATTTTTTTGCAAATCTGGAATGGGTTGAGTATCATGCTTGCAAATATTTTCAATACATGTATCTGCATAAATCAATTAGAATAAAAGCAAACTGTATCCGGGCCCAAACATCTAGATTTATTTATGTTGCAGGCTGTATATACTGTTATAAAACATGTATACTATACCAAATGAATGAATTAATGACTGTGCATTATAAAGTAACATAAAATATCATTAGAACCTTCCAATGCAGTGTTAACATATTAGGATCTTTAACATTTGTACAGAAAACCTAACGGATGTATTATATACCAGTATATATAGTACATTAAGTGCAGATATTAAGTTAATGATGCATCACTGTAAATTACAATACAGTTGTACAGTTAACATGTGACTGACAAAAAAGATCTTGCTTAATAAATTATAAATATTCCATTTATTAAAATCCTTTTTACCTTTCTGAGAGCACACTTGCTTAACTAAACTCAGAGAATTCTTCATCCCACAGAATGTTTTATTTTCTCAACTTTTACATGAGTCCCAATGTTAACTCCTAACTTATGAATGAACTCCAGTTGTAAAAGTATTGTCTTTATATTCTCATACTTGAGAACACATAATTTCCTCTGACTACCGGTATATGTCCAACAAGCCTCAGAAGCCAACGTTTTGGCGATCTCTATCCCCGGCACTTGAGAAAAACGAAAGGAAAGTCAAGTGGGTTTTCTGTGCACACTGTCGCCATCAGTGGAGCGAAAATGAATGAAATCGTTTTGCAGAGCATGTGAAGATAAAGTGGAAAAAAACATTATATGTTCTGACAATAGCATACAGCATGATTCATTGAATAATACAAAGTATAAAAGGCAATCTCCTCTCTCTATATACACTTCCTCTACTTTTATAAATAATAGTGTTCCTCAAGTAAACTACTTGTGTGAATGACATAGTTAGTTTGGCCTAGTTCTAACAGTGTGTGGTATATTTCCCTGACAGTTTACTGTCATTAACCAGAGAGTCAGCTGCTTATTGGAATGTACCAGGTCCTCGACTGACATTGTTCAAACTCAAAGGAAATGAAACTACAAAAATTCCTGTTTTACAGTACTTACAACCAAAGAAAGCATTATTTGATATTAGTCAAAAGAAAAATCTTTCAAGGATTATTGAAGTAATGAAAAGAAAAATTCCTTTACTTTCTCCAATGGAGAAAAAACATGCAGTTAAACTACTGTATCTACAATGCTCTAACAATGTTTAGTGAGCATGGATTCGTTTTAAATTACGTAATACTAGTGTAATACAATTCAAATCACAAATTTATTCTATTTTATGTCAAATGTTGGGTCGATCAGTCTAACTACACAAAAATACCTTGAAATCAGGGTGCAGTGTAGAGATGGTCCTTATTTAAAGTTTAACATTAATTTTGTCAGATGACCTGTGGACAATTATCATGAATATCAATATCTGCTTCAGAAGAAAAGATCCTTTCTTCTTTGAATCACTTAGCCTTCTTGAAAACATTGTTTAAGATAAATATATGACTGTGTAATTTCATGTTACAGAATATTTTTCATGTGTTTGTGTCTAAAAATATAGATTTCTATCTGCTACATTAAGGTTTTTATTATTCCCAGGACCCTTCTCTGAATATTGTGAAGAACCTCTGTACTTGGTTACATTCCTGTCTGCATGTTATTTTAATTAAGATAATAAAAACATGCAACCAGCCTGGTCTGTATAAAGCAGCTGTGGTTAATATATATACACAAACCAGACTTTTAGATGAGCAGGAACCAGAAAGAAGGCCATTAGGTTCTACTGAAAATTCAAAACTGCACATTCCATTCAATATCACTGATCATTCAGACAGACTAGGCTAGGATGATTAATTAATTGATTTAACAACCAAACATGTTGAATTTAAAAAGAATTCTGGACTGTTCCACATACACAAGTATTTTATACAAGTGCACAGATCGATAGTAGGGCTGGGCAATAATATCGATATTTCAATATATTGCAATACAGTGACAAAAAATATCGTATCGCAATACGATTTTGTAATATCGATATATTGGCAATATACTTAGATTAAGGAATTTTGTCATTAAATATAAAAATGGACTTATGAAAGTTTGTTATTAAGCCAAACAGTAAGACAGAAGTTGTTTTGGGGGAACATTTCAGAGTATAACTTAAAGGAAATCAACAAGATTTTTTTTTCGTGTTGGTTACTTATCATAGTTATGTACATTCTGCATGTAAATTAAAATAAATATAATAAGAAATTGCCATTTTTATTACATTGAAAATATTGCAATACGTATCGCAATACAGTTTAAAATATCGCAATATATCGCAATACGAAATCTCGGGCCAATACCCAGCCCTAATCGATAGCATTGAAATTATGATTTTAGAAATTATATCTTTAGAGTTGAGCATGACAAGGTATTGCTTAGCTCTTAATTCTTTTTTTAAGAATGCCTATATACACATACATGTACTTTTATTATCATAATAATTAGACTGTAATGCATGTATTCATAAAATCACAAGGCAAATATCTATGTTAATGTACTTATACATTATTTAATGCACATTGTAGGTGAATGAGTATTATGTTCTTACACATAATACACATGGACCTACAATATGCATTAAAAATTATCTTACCAATGATTACTGTACATGTATTTCTTTTTTTCAAATTGCTCAATACATAAAATGAGCTTATTCAAAGACTTTTAGCTTTATATTCAAAGTGTCACTCTTGTTTTAATACTTGGTTTAAATATTTGTATGTGTGAGTGTGAGCATTCAAAAACCTGACGTCATTGTTTTAATATCCTTCTTTGTTCATTTTTCAATATTCACTTATAAATTTGCTTCCTTCATGGTTCTAATGAATGGAGCCTATTGATGTAATTCTCTTCAATATTATAAGTGACAACTACTGAAGTAGGATGAAGTATTGATTTAAATTACAACTTTTTACAATGAATAAAACAGATTGCAGGTTTCAATATTGTGCATTTTACATCAAAAGAAATGACAAAATCAACAGGTCTTTTGTGGTAGCTGAACCCTCATACATGATAGGATATTATTGTATTATACTTCATTATGCGGTTCACATTTTCTCCATATGAGCAGTCAGTCCACATCATGTACATGATCTAGTTGTTGATCAGATGTACCTTAATAGTGACAATCCTGTATAAAATTTGTTATGTTATTAATGTACCCCTTATTTTGATTTTGGTGAATTAATTAAACTTAACTTGAAAACTTTAAGGTTGACTATTAGACAAAGTATAATTTTTATCATCATTTTATACAGTATAAAATTAAGTTTTAGGCCTAACCCACACAACAAAATACAAAAAGTAAATAATAAACCAAGAATACATATTAATGAAGCCTACACATTCAGTGAGCCCACTGCAACTACAGACTAATCCTAATTCATGTAATAAAAGGTATTGTTTGCAAAACTGCAACTTAATACCGTCTTGGTGGTATCAAGGGCTGCGGTGGCATAAACATTATTAACCTTCATTAAATTCCTGGGAAATTAGTGCATATTTTGACTGTCTGGATTTGTCAACAGAAATAGGCATGTTTGGTACATGAAAAAGCAACTGAGGAAATTCGAAATTTTCTATCAGGGACCTTCTTCACTTATTAAACTTTACAATAATCTCAACTTCAATTAAGTGGGGGTAAAATTAAATTTCTAGTTTATTTATAAATTAAATAAGCTACGTTATATTAATCACTGTTTCTAGCTCAAGGCTCCAAATTCAAACATTCCATCACAGATTACAGATGGGAAAAAACTTACCTGATTCCATTTCAAATTAAGGGTTCATTTCGTAACTCCAGTCTTTCAATCTGACATTTTAACTTGAGCTAGATAATTACATCCGAATATTCTACTGTGTCACACTAATTACTTGGATTAATAGGAAGACTGCACTTGAGACAAGTAGGTTTGACAACGCATTGGGATTTTCTCTTACTTCCGCTTATTTGTCACGTGATCAAAATATTTTGTTGGAGGCCTACTTGGCGGATCTACAACTCCTTTCCGTTGGCGGATTTAGAGAGGGATCCAGGTGTTCCCTTTTGTGTACAAAATACATAAAAAATTTAATAAATCATTGTGTGTGTGTGTGGCTGTGGGCCCCTTCCCAGACCCCAAACTGCCTGGATTCCTGGATCCGCCAATATTTTAAGTCGACAAGATAAAAGACGCATCATCGTCTTAATGAGGAAAGGGGGGGGGGTGGTTAGAGAAGAATAAATAAGAAAAGGGGATATAATGAAGGATTAATGAATATTTCAATAAATTAATGCAATGAGGGAGAACATTCATGCACCCAGTATACAATTAAAATTTCTTAATAATTTCACAGAATAAGCTGTTTTGACTTCACTTCACTTATTAAACTTAATTTTTTAATTTAAAATTTCGAAACTTTAGTCCTCTGTTCTTCCATAGACCTAAATTGAATTTAGGTCTATGGTTCTTCGTTAGGGTATTTTATTATAAAACTTTTGAGGCAGGAGCGGATCTAGCATATTTTGGAAGAGGGGGTTTCTATAATTAAGGTACATGTACGTGTGATCGAACGCCTCCCCCAACATTACTCAGTTATAAACTTACGTTCACAAACGCAGGGAAAATCATCTTTGGTCTTGGTAAAAAAAAAAAATCTTTCTTTCTGTTCTTAATTCATTTAAAATGTAGTCTGCAGTGTGAAATACTGTAGAATAAAAAAATGAAAGGATTTGAAATATTTTCAAAAACATTACAGACAATTAGTTGGGAATTTTACAAACATGTGCTATTTTTTCCTGCCAGCTACATATAGGATGTCGTACTTTCACGAATTAATTTACTGTGGACTTAATTCTGCTATGCATTATAGAGGAAATAATATGTGATATTGTAAGATTAGCTGTTTACCTCGCCTCAAGCCACGGTTCGGAGTCCGCACATTGCTCTCTCCTACCAACGGCCAGAATGGAAATTACTATACCATTATTAATTGACAATACGTCGTCGATATGTCTAAATGTTGAGTTGAAGATCACAGTAAGTGTTTCCTTCTTTTCACGCATAAGATTTTGCACAAATTCTGCTTCATATGAATACAAAAATAGGTCTGCTAATAACGGAGCGCAATTGGTACCCATGAGAATTCCAATATATTGTTGGAAGACCTAGTCTCCAAAAACAACATAAATATTGTCAAACAGAAACTCAAGCATCTTTTTGATGTCGACTTCAGGGTACTTGTGAGTACAATTAGAATGTTTTTTAACAAAATAATTTTGCAAATGACAAATGACAAGGCAAATAAATTTGCGAGCTCCATCATTATTGAAAAAGCAGCTGTCAGTGATATCTAACAAGATTCAATCCTCGCCAAATGCAAGTTTTACATTATAGTAGAATTTCTCAGGGACGTAGCAACGGGGGGGACAATACTTTCACTATTGAAAATGTTCATTGAAAGGCTGGTTGCCCCCCCCCCACTTTAAACTAAAGTAAAATAATATGAAAGAAATATAGTATTGTAAGCATAAAAAATGGATATTGAAAGGAATTGGTAGTGAAAAAAGTTTGCCTGTGTGGCTGACACCCCCCCCCCCCCCCCCCCCCCCCACTTTCAAAGTTGATGCCACGTGCCTGTTTCTGCCAACCAAATTTTCAGGAGAAAATGTTGTTTGTCATAATTTCATATCTTTTAATAAAAAGAACATTCTTCAATTCGCATACTAAAATTTCATTATTATTACTATTATATTTTTTTAATACTAGCATATTCTGCGCCTTATCAGATCATTTAATTTATCTTTACTGTATGGGTGACTGCATCATTATGACTTAAAAAAAGAATAGATATGATAATTTATTACAAAATATTTATAACTCTCGATGCTGTGTGCATTTCGTATAATAATGATAAAACACACCCTCACACCCACCCTCCCACACACCCACACCCACCCTTACTCATCCCCTCACATTCCCACACACGAACCCCTCACACACTTTTAAATAAAGAAATCTTCTATACATGCTAACAACAAGATTATACAGTTAAACATATCCAACTATTTACATGTATGTTTGTTAAGTTTATTTCCAGTTTCACATAAAAAAATCAACGAATTATTTAAACAAGAGGCCCATGGGCCTTATAGGTCACCTGAGCATTATTCAACAACTTTCCAGTGATTGAATTTGATCCATGTTTTAAGCCAGATGCTATAGCATTTACAATTTGGTCATCATAACTATACACTTAACAGTTCCTTAGTTTGGTTGCTTAATACCCATAGGCATGGTAGGGGAACAAAAAATGCATTTCAACAAATCAGTAATATTCAGCAATAATCAGTTGTGCCGCTACTACACATGAACCCTTTACTCTTAGGCCTAGATCCACACATTGCACAATTTTTGGAAAGGCATCCTTGCTTTTCAAAAATATTTGATAAATACCAAGGAGCACATTTCAAACAATTCATTCATTTTTTAGTATATAAGTACAGCCCCCCCCCCTCTATGGTACAACTGACCCTGGGGTCTTGAAATTTACAATTCTTGAAGATTAGGTCCCTTGCTCATAACTATATAGGTATTTCATCTGCTTAAAGTCTAGGAGCAAAGAAGAAAATATTCAAAGATTTAATGTTTTTTCACTATACATGCACAATCAATACCCCCCCCCCCCCAACACCAGAATCCCTGACCCTGGGGCCATAAAATTCACAATTTTGGTAGAGGCACTCTTGCTCATCATAACTATGTACTTAGTTAGTTTATTTAATACCCAGGAGTAGAGAAGAAGATTTTCAAAGAATTCATGTATTTTCACTATATAATCAATAGAGCCCAGCCCTAACCCCAGAACCCCTGACCCTGGGGCCACAAAATTCACAATTTTGGTAGAGGCACTCTTGCTCATCATAACTATGTACTTAGTTAGTTTATTTGATACCCAGGAGCAGAGAAGAAGATTTTCAAAGAATTCATGTATTTTCACTATATAATCAATAGAGCCCAGCCCTAACCCCAGAACCCCTGACCCTGGGGCCATAAAGTTCACAATTTTGGTAGAGGCACTCTTGCTCATCATAACTATGTACTTAGTTAGTTTATTTAATATCCAGGAGCAGAGAAGAAGATTTTCAAAGAATTCATGTATTTTCACTATATAATCAATAGAGCCCCGCCCTTACCCCAGAACCCCTGACCCTGGGGCCATAAAATTCACAATTTTGGTAGAGGCACTCTTGCTCATCATAACTATGTACTTAGTTAGTTTATTTAATACCCAGGAGCAGAGAAGAAGATTTTTAAAGAAATAATGCATTTTCACTATATACTTTTTTAGCCCCGCCCTAGCACAAGTACCCCTGACCCCAGGGCCATGAATTTCACAATTTTGGTAAAGGACTCAATGCTGATTACAATCATGCAAACAGTTTGACTGCTTGATGTCCAGGAGTAAAGAAGAAGATTTTTAAAGATTGCATTAATTTTAGTGGTTTTGGCCCCACCCCTCAGGCCCCAGGGGGGCAGGAATCATGAAATTCACAATTTTTGTTCCCCTTCACCCATAGATGCTTTGTGCCAAATTTGGTTGAAATTGGTTCAGTGGTTGCAGAGAAGAAGCTGAAAATGTTCAAAAGTTTACGACCGATTGACGACGAACGACGAACGACGTACGACGAACGACGGACGACGACGGACGAAAACAGATAGCAATAGGTCACCTGAGTGACTCAGGTGACCTAAAAATGTAACGATTCTAAATTTAAATGATAAATCCTCTACTGGCAATTAGAAATGTTAATATCAAACACACAATGATTTAGTCATCAAAAATGTATTTAAATTAATATCACATTTAAATGCACATGATCAATCAAACTTTACAAAAAAATATCTGACACATTTCCTTCTTCGGAAAAATCTCTTCCTTATCATTGCCTTTGTCTCAATCGTAATTTCATCGCAGTCATTTCAGTAAAATTCAATCAAAATAAAACATCATTGATTATTATCTACCAATGATCGAGTCCTTTTATTCCCCTATAAGATTATTTTGACCTTTGAACTCTCTACCCAAAGTATCCACGGGTATAAACGAGATCGGTTCCCGACTGACATGTTCTTCTGCACCGACCATTCTGAACAGTTAGACAACATCTGGCGGGTAACGGACAATGATCGTCCCTGGAACACTCTGATGTATCGGTGTTCCGGTACCCACAATGCCGTGTTTTTACCCGTCGACAACTTCCGGGACGTGAGGTTGTACAAACGGGGTGACCTCCTTCATCAGGGCAACATATTCTTTTTCCCCTACACTCCTTCGATGATTGACACGGAACATCAAATCGGGGGTTACATTTAACTGCATTATTTGGTGGGCATTTGGGATCTGGGTCTGTAATATAAAAGTAAGACATTTTTTCACATAAATCATTTATAAAATAAAAAAAGATTTTTTCCAAGATCTTTCGTTTTTTCTTAAACATAAGACACGTTTAAAATATATCCTGCAAATAATTGTGGAATTCTAAGTGATTGCAATCTTTCTTTTTTAATTTGCCTATATATTTTTCTTTAATCTGTATGTTTTTGTTTATTTTCTGAACATTTTGGAATGATTATTTGCCCCCCCCCCCTCAAAAAAAGCACCTAAAAGAAATTCCGGTAAAAACAAAAATGAAAATATTTAAGACTTACAAGCAAGAGTATACGTCCAAATGGTAGCAACTAAAACACACAGTCCAAGATTCATGGTGAATGAAAGTAATGAAAGTAAAACTTAATTAACGAATAAAAAACTTCAATAAAAATAAATTAACCCAAAACCCGCCTCTGGTTCTTGCAGGAATTACTTCTAATATATGTACTGTAAAATGTCACACTTTTATATGTCCTAATCTACTATGTTAGTGAGACGTGTGGCATTTTATATAAATTCTAAAGATTAATTTTAGATTGTTGCGTAAATTACAGTTAGATACATACATCAAATCCAATGACAGCAAAAGGAAAATTAAGAAGGATTTGAATGAATAAGACAAACCACAAATGAAGACACAACTCGTACGTGTTTCTCTGATCTGTGATGATGTCAATGACGAGCTCCGCCAATCTCGTTTCATTCATTTTGTTGTTCAGATACAAAGGTTCTCGTTAACTCATTGGGACATCCCCTTATAATTAAGTTATTTTCAGTCGATTTAGAAATCTGCGGATTATCCTGTATCATTGCTTTTTCGTTTACCGAGGGTTTTGATATTTTGGTACCCCCGACTATGATCATACACAAATTGAAACTACGTCTCGTATTTAGATTTGACCACGAATCAAAAGTTACATGTATATTGAATTGTTGTTCAATGAAGAATTTAGTTATAATATCTAGCATTAAAGTGATGATCAATAAAGAATTTAAGTTTTCACACCTACCCCCTATTTCTATATAAGATACAAGAATTATATTAGTCCAATTTGGGCCCCCGGAGGAGCACTTAGTATTGCGTTATCAACATTATACTAGTACCCCTACCGGCAAGTGAAATCCTGTTTCCACTAAAATTGAACATAGGTAATCAGAGATTACAGAGCTCACCTCAACGAATGTTGTCCTTAAGTATAAGTAAGGCAAATTAAGTCACACAATTAACCAACAAAAAGTGTACATCCAAAAATGCAAAATTTATGCAATTTTGATACTGTGGGATAGACCTATATAAAAACTTAAAACTAGTTCTTCATCATAAAAATGTAATTAAAATCCAGCATCTGAAGCAAGATTGAGAGTTTTCATCCCTTGATGCATCATTTGTGCAACTTTGGTTATTATAAGCCTTATAGTTTCTTGGTGATAGACCTGCACCCATAACTTTTACGAGGTCTATTATCTGGAAAATGTATGTGAAGTTCAGCATCTGAAGCAAGTCCATTAGTGTGCATCCTAAGATGTATCATCCATGCAAGTTTGTTCAACATAGAGCACAAAGTTACTTGGAAATGAAACCTGTATAAAAAACTAACCTTTTCACTAATCCGGAAAATGTAGGTCAGATGCAGCTTCTGAAGCCAGCCTAGTAGAATGAACCCTTAGATGTACCATCCATGCAAGTTTGGTCATTATAGGGCTCAAAGTTACTTGGAAATGAATCCTGCACCATAAAGTTTAACCTCTTTACTCGTCCAGAAAATGTGGGTCAGATTCAGCATCCGAAGCAAGTCTGGTAGTATGCATACTAAGATGTACCATCCATGCAAGTTTAGTCATTATAGGGTTCATAGTACCTTGGAAATGAAACCTGCACAAAAAATTTTAACCTGTTCACTCAACCGGAAAATGTAGGTCAGATTCAGCATCCGAAGCAAGTCTTGTAATATGCATCCTAAGATGTACCATCCATGCAAGTTTGGTCATTATATGTCTCATAGTAACTTGGAAATGAAACCTGCACCAAAAAGTTTAACCTGTTCACTCAACCGGAAAATGTAGGTCAGATTCAGCATCCGAAGCAAGACTGGTAGTATGCATCCTAAGATGTACCATCCATGCAAGTTTGGTCATTATATGTCTCATAGAAACTTGGAAATGAAACCTGCACCAAAAACTTTAACCTGTTCACTCAACCGGGAAATGTAGGTCAGATTCAGCATCCGAAGCAAGTCTAGTAGAATGCATCCTAAGATGTACCATCCATGCAAGTTTGGTCATTATAGGACTCATAGTATCTTCGAAATGAAACCTGCACCAAAAAGTTTAACCTGTTCACTCAACCAGAAAATGTAGGTCAGATTCAGCATCGGAAGCAAGTCTGGTAGTATGCATCCTAAGATGTACCATCCATGTAAGTTTGGTCAACATAGGGCTTATAGTTACTCGGAAATGAGACCTACACCAAAAACTGCACCAAAAATGTTAACCTGCACCAAAAACATTAACCTGGTCATTCCTTTGCTGAAATTGCAGCATCTGAAACTTTGACTGGTACAATGAAACACACTAGAAACATCTTCCATGCATGTCTAATCAATATAGGACATAGAAGTACTTGAAAAGAAAACTGCTCCAAAAAACTTAACCTTAACCCGGGACGCCGACGCCGACGCCGAGGGTATCACATAAGCTCCCCCCAACTTCGTTGAGGTGAGCTAAAAATGCCAGAATTATATTCAAATTCATTGAAGCGGAACAAAATTCAAACTTGATCAACAACTCATCAATGTCAAGTAACATACCGGTACTTACGGAAGCGGATTAGTGCCACTTGCACACTTTACTCTTTTTAAATTTCGACACTTTAATCTGTAAATTCTACACTTTAAAGTGTAAATTTTACACTTTAAAGTGTAAATTTTACACTTTAATCTGTAAAATTTACACTTTAATCTGTAAATTATACAGATTAATCTGTAAAATTTACACTTTAATCTGTAAATTATACAGATTAATCTGTAAAATTTACACTTTAATCTGTAAATTTTATACATTAATCTGTAAAATTTACACTTTAATCTGTACATTTTACACTTTAATCTGTAAATTTTACACTTTAATCTGTAAATTTTACACATTAATCTGTAAATTTTACACTTTAATCTGTAAATTTTACACTTTAATCTGTAAAATTTACACTTTAATCTGTAAATTATACACTTTAATCTGTAAATTTTACACTTTAATCTGTAAAATTTACACTTTAATCTGTAAATTATACACTTTAATCTGTAAATTTTACACTTCAAAGTGTAAATTTTACACATTAATCTGTAAAATTTACACTTTAATCTGTAAATTTAACACTTTAATCTGTAAATTTTACACTTTAATCTGTAAATTTTACACATTAATCTATAAAATTTACACATTAATCTGTAAAATTTACACTTTAATCTGTAAATTATACACTTTAATCTGTAAATTTTACACTTTAATCTGTAAATTTTACACTTTATTTGTGTATTCACATAGTCAATATAGCATCTTCACACATCCTCAGTAACACATTTGTAAGCCAATAAAATGTTAGTTTAAGCAAATTTTCTGAATTGATAGGATTTATAGATTATATCACAATTGTGTCATCCATATATTATTTATGTGAAAAAAAGTCTAATAGGCCCTGGAATCTATATTGGGGGGGGGGGGAGGGGTCCTCAAGCACCTGTGATCGGGAATATGTGCATGTATGTTTGATGTGCTCTTCACTTTATATTCAAAGAAAAGTTTTACTTTAATATAAAACATCAGAATTAAATTTTATCATGCACGAAACATGGTCTGTTGGCTTAAAAATGTGTTACTGAGGATGTGTGAAGATGCTAAATTGACTATGTGAATAAACAAATAAAGTGTAAATTTTATAGATTAAAGTGTAAAATTTACAGATTAAAGTGTAAATTTTACAGATTAAAGTGTAATTTTTACAGATTAATGTGTAAAATTTACACTTTAAAGTGTAAAATTTACACTTTAAAGTGTAAAATTTACACTTTAATCTGTAAATTTTACACTTCAAAGTGTAAATTTTACACATTAATCTGTAAAATTTACACTTTAATCTGTAAATTTAACACTTTAATCTGTAAATTTTACACTTTAATCTGTAAATTTTACACATTAATCTATAAAATTTACACATTAATCTGTAAAATTTACACTTTAATCTGTAAATTATACACTTTAATCTGTAAATTTTACACTTTAATCTGTAAATTTTACACTTTATTTGTGTATTCACATAGTCAATATAGCATCTTCACACATCCTCAGTAACACATTTGTAAGCCAATAAAATGTTAGTTTAAGCAAATTTTCTGAATTGATAGGATTTATAGATTATATCACAATTGTGTCATCCATATATTATTTATGTGAAAAAAAGTCTAATAGGCCCTGGAATCTATATTGGGGGGGGGGGGGGGGAGGGGTCCTCAAGCACCTGTGATCGGGAATATGTGCATGTATGTTTGATGTGCTCTTCACTTTATATTCAAAGAAAAGTTTTACTTTAATATAAAACATCAGAATTAAATTTTATCATGCACGAAACATGGTCTGTTGGCTTAAAAATGTGTTACTGAGGATGTGTGAAGATGCTAAATTGACTATGTGAATAAACAAATAAAGTGTAAATTTTATAGATTAAAGTGTAAAATTTACAGATTAAAGTGTAAATTTTACAGATTAAAGTGTAAATTTTACAGATTAATGTGTAAAATTTACACTTTAAAGTGTAAAATTTACACTTTAAAGTGTAAAATTTACACATTAATCTGTAAATTTTACAGATTAAAGTGTAAAATTTACAGATTAAAGTGTAAAATTTACAGATAAAAGTGTAAAATTTACAGATAAAAGTGTAAAATTTACAGATTAAAGTGTAAATTTTACAGATTAAAGTGTAAAATTTACAGATTAAAGTGTAAAATTTACACATTAATCTGTAAAATTTACAGATTAAAGTGTAAATTTTACAGATTAAAGTGTAAAATTTACAAATTAAAGTGTAAAATTTACAGATTAAAGTCTCGAAATTAAAAAAAAAGTAAAGTGTGCAAGTGGCACTAATACGCTTCCGTAGGTACTAGTACTCAATATATGCAAGCTGAAAAAATGCGGAAAACTCTTAAAAACTACAGGTACTGTGAGCAATGAGCTCACTAGATGATGCCCCCGCCTCCCATATGGTTATAATGACAAAGTCCATGTTTTGCTGTGGCCGGGAAACCCAAAATATGTGTCGGATCAAAAAGTAAAATAGGAGGTGCACAATGGCAATATATAATAAAGATTCTGTGAAAGTTTCATTAAATTTCAAACAGTGGTATAAGAGGAGTTGCGGATAAGAGATGGGTACCCCAAAGCTTAACAGACAGACGGACGGACAGACAGCTAGACGGACGGACATACCGATCACAGTGT